AACTGCGCAGCAGCTCCAGAGAGGACACTGGCTTCCAGGTAGTGACTGTTGGGGTTAAAAATAAGAAAAAAAGAAAGCCTTTTTTAAAAGCAAAGAAACAAAACCCCATACTCCAAAGCACTGTCCCTCCACATGAATCTATTTGCAGGCTGCTCCTGCTTTTTCATAAATATATGAGTTGGTAGATACCATAATAGCTAAATGTGGCGACAGGAGTGCTATTAGCAGCTTTTATTTTAATTGTCGCTTGTGGCTGACTTCTGCTTACGTTCAAAATGCATTCCTGGTCTACCTTGAAAATGTAGCTGCTGTAGATTTGAGATCTCGAATTTTCTAGGGAGCTCTGAGTTTTCTGTATGTGTTTGTACCTTCTCCAGTGGGAGGTATGGATTGATACAGTGATGCTCTCTATTTAGAATATCTGTCATCCAAGGATCTCAAAGCTGTAATGAAGACGACAAGTAAATAGTATTGCCCATCTCATCCCAGGCTGGGTAGCAGAGGTGGAACAAGCAGACATATCGTTGGCTTTCCGCCATGACTCATCTTGTGGAGCCACCAGAGACAGAAAGGTCCAGTGATCCCCAGTATGCCTCCAAGAGCCGTGGTGGCAGAGCTGCTGCTAAGAGCTAGGGCCATCTGGTTTTGCACTCCTGTAGCCTCTCCCTGCTGCTCCAATGCCGAGTCCATGTTAGATGGTATTTTGATGGTGTCTTACTGCTGCAAGTTCTAGCTACGTGCCCTTGGCACTTGCTACAAGCCATGTCCCAGGGCATCAGAAGGACTAGGAGCACAGGAAACAAAATCCAGTAACCCCCTGTCCCTTCCCAGGAGCGAAATCATTAGTCCTCCTTGTAACAGACATTGCCTTTTGGGTGCCACGTTGGGGAGGGGGAGCTGGGAGTCATAGAATTGGGTAATGGTAGAAGAATTGGGTAAGCCTTGGGTCACCGTGCACTGTGAGGAGCCTCTATAGGTTGCTCATCTGAGGGATTGCTGTCACTGCTCGGGATCTAGTTTGGCAAATTTTTCAATATTTGATCTGATTGTTTTTGAGAAATCTCGCCCGACATGTGGGAGGTAGGTGCAGAGCTGCTGGAGAGCCCTGGAGCGGTCTTGTCAGCTTCCCTCTGATGTACTGGGTTGTTTTCGTGTTTAATCTTACAATGTTTTCATTCGGTCATGTAGCAAATGGGGGAACTTATACCACTTCTACATAATGAGGGAGCTGGCAGAGGAGCTGGCCAAGCCACTCTCCATTATTTATCAGCAGTCCTGGTCAACCGGGGAGGTCCTGGATGACTGGAAGCTAGCAAATGTGATGCCCCTCTACAAGAAGGGTCGGAAGGAGGATCCGGGGAACTACAGGCCTGTCAGCCTGACCT